CGCGGCCCACACGCCGCCGTCCCTGCACAGGGCCACGTCCCCAGCAGCTGGCCCGGAAGACTCCGCTGTGCTCAGAGGTCGGGAGAACTCGGCTCCCTGACTCCAGGGAGAGGCTGGTTTTTATTGCTTTCGTTCAAATTATGGCCGCTCGGAAGAGGCTCAAGGAGCAGTGTAATGAAAGTCATAAACCTGCCTCGTAAATACGGGCCCAGCCGCAGGTCGTCCGGCCACGCGGGGCTGCAGAGGGGTGGCGCGGGGTCGGGGGGCTCCACCCTGCGTGCTTCCCGGTCAGCCCACACGTCCACCTCCCCTCGTCCCTGACGCTGGGGGCCTCGGCCCGGAAGCAGCTGGAGGGGCAGCCGGCTCTGTGCCGTCCCCTGGAGGCTGGAGGTCCCTGAGCACAGCCCACGTGGCTTCAAGTGTCAAGAACACGTGGCCACAAACAGCGGTGACGTCACTTCCCTCAGAGCCTGACACGTGACCCACGCGTGCTCATGACGTCCCCAGGAGGTGCTTCCCGGGCCCCTCTCAGGGAGGCAGAGCGAGAGCTGGCAAGGGCAGCGCCAGGAGCCGCAGCCCACAGACGTCTGGGCCCAGATGCCCACGGCCCCCGCAGCTGGACGTACGTGCGCAAGCAGAGGCCTCAGACACCTGCCCTAGGGAGCAGGGAGGAAGCCCCAGACGGGTTCGGGGGGAGCCTCTTCCAGAGGTCCCAGCCGCCAGCCACGCGACAGGGCGCGCAGGGACAGCTGCCAGCAGAAGAGCCGCAGGCCCCCCGCAGAGCACCATGCCCAGGAGCGAGGCGGTCCCCACGGCGGGAGTTAGGACCCCAGAGCCCCCCGAAGGCCCCTTCCCTCCCTGCCCGAGCCCCAGGACAAGGCCAGGAGAGCCTGGGTGTCTCCTCAGCAGAGGACAGCCGGGCTCAGCAGAAGAGGGCCCGGCAAGGTGGCAGCCGCGGGGTGAACACAGGCCCCACCCAGAGGACCTGTGTCCCCCCAGCTGGCTGCCATGCTGTGAGGAAGCCCAACCAGCGCACGCAGAGCCCGCCGCAGAGAGCACGTGGCGTCCCTGTGCGGTCCAGACGTCAGGGCGCGAGTGGCCCGAGGGGCGCTGTCTGAATTCCTGACCGTGCACATGTTGAAGGCCGCGGGCTACGTCACTGAATTCTGGGGCAATGTGTCACGCAGCCACACGGACCCACACGCCTGTGGGGCTTCCCCTGCAGGGCGTGTCACACTGGCTGCTAAATAGCAGCTTGTTCCTCGCAGCTGGTGGAGAGAGCCCCACCAGTGCCCTCCAGGCCCACAGTCAGGGCCGCCCCGCACCCGCACCACCTGGGCCGCAGCCGCAAGTGGGGAGGCGCCGCAGTCAGCGCGGGGAGGCTCCTGGGGAGATCAGTCGTTTGCAGCCTGACCCATGATTTAAAATTAATTTTCAGAAATCCTCCAGAAGTCATGAAGCCAATCAGCTGATCACACCCCAAGTGAAGGGGTCCCCCACCCCCCAGCAGGCACAGCAGACGGTCCCGGCCCGATCCAGGCCGGCCCAGTGGGCTCCTGAATGCTCTGCCTCTGCCTGTACCCACCCTCCCCAGCCCTGTTCCACCTCTTGTCCCTCCCTCTCGGCGCTGGCTGCACACCCACCTCAGGGCCTTTGCACCTGCTCGTAGCCCTGCCTCACTGCCCACCGCATGCACCCTGGCCCTGCCCCCTTTCCCTCACGGCACTTCGAGCCTCGGGCCAGAGCAGCTACTCATCGGCTTCATTTCCCGCCGCTGTGGTGGGACTCGGAGCCAGAGTGTGCATGGCCCATCTGCCGACCGGGCGCAGCGGACGCTCAGCACTGGCTGGTTGCAGGGAGGAGGGACAGCGGAAGTGAAGGGTTTCTCTTGCCCTCCACCCGCGGGCGGGTCGGCCTGGTGGCGCTGTGGGCGGAGGAGGGCTGTCCAGGTAGGGTCCCAGGGGACGGGGTGGCAAGGGTCTCCTCACGAAGGCTGGGTGCCTGTGCCTCAGTGTCCCCACCTGGAGAGAGCAGGGGCACACGGACCCCAGCACGGCTCACACGTGCAGTGAGCACCTGGGAGTCCCGATGACGCCGGTGATCAGACACCTACTCCATGGCTGGCCACGGCAGCAGCACGCTACCTGCCACACACCTGCGGGGCAGGCCCTTCCAGAACATTCCGCACCCTAGGCCTGGGGAGGGCAGCTGCTATCCCAGCAGGCATTTATAGATTCTCATTTCTCTTTAATAAAGGAAACCCTCAGCCCCCTGCTTCGCCAGAGACAGGCGGGATCGCCATGTTCCCGGCTGCAAGCAACCAAATTAAAAACAATACTTTCTAACTAATCGTATGGCGCTAACGAACATCTGACAGCGGAGCTTTCGAGACAGAAGCTGTTGGGGACGAGCAGTAATTGGGGGTTTCCTGCAGATAAATATCGGCAAAATCAAACCACTTCTAAGTGAGGGCTGTAAAACGAGGTCGGGTGACAAACGCCCCGTGTCACAGCAGGGACGCGTCGGGAGAGGCGGTCTGAGGCCCCAACCACAGACGGGTGGGCTGCGAGGGGTGCACATGGACACACGGCACACGTGTGCAGTGAACATTCAGAGTGGCCCAGGAAGGCGGAGGGACACGCCTGCAGCACACACACACACACACACAGACACACACAGGACACAGAGAGAGACACACGCAAACACAGAGACCCAGAGAGAACCCCATGACACCTCTAGCCGAGACACGCACAGCCCCACCCAAACATACACGCACACACAGGTACACGCACGGCAATCCTAACCAGCGCACACACACGCGTGTCTAAGGACCCCCCAGGGAAGTCCCGCTCTGGACACGGGATGGTAGCCGGCCTGAATCCTGCCCTCGCCCGGGCCCTGCCCCTACTCCTGGGCACAGGTCACCTTGGCCAGTCCCTGCTCCCCAGCCCCGGGGCGGCGCAGCCCCAACCTGGCCTCCAGCCTGGGGACGCTCTCGGGGGACGACCCCCTCTGGGAAGGGGGCACTGCTCCCTGCCTCTGCCAGGAGCCTGGGCTCCCACCTGCCGCCCACACGCCAACGGCACAAGAGGCCCACCGGGGCCGTGACAGCCTGGGGCTCTGAGGGCCACCAGGGCCAGGGGTGACTGTGCCCTGGACCCGGGGTCCCGTCTGCACACGCCAGGTCTGACGCACGCGTCTGCCCATGAACGGGCGCAAGGCACACATGGGACCATCTGCAGGCCTGGGGCCCTGCGGGGCTCCCGCTGCGTGGAGGGGAGCCCTCCCCACCCCCGCCGCCATCTGTCGCTTCTGTGCCGCAGCCGTGGGGGGTTCAGCTGCAGGCAGCTGGCAAGTCAATTACAGCGTTTTCAGGACACATTCACGGCAGCGTCTGGGGGAGAAGCCCTGGCTGGCGAAGCGGGCAGAGCAGAGGGTGCCCGTGCTCAGGGCTGGGGGGCTCAGACCGGGGGAGCCACAGGACATCCCTGGCCCCGCCACGCTGCCCCTCTGGACACGGGCACAGCTCACCCCGACCGCTGACGAGCCAGCAGGACCCCTGCCCAACGCCCCAAATGTCACATGAATCCACACGCAGGAACCTGCTCCTCCCACCCCAGAAGCCCCAGCTTCCCTGGGATCTGGGGAAGGAGCGTGTCCCCACTCGGACACGCACCGGGCACCACCGGCTGCCTGCCCAGGACCCCGTGTGGAGCGGCCGCCACTCGCGGTCACGGTGGCACGTCAGGGGCACCCACAGCCACCCTAGGAGGGCTGTGTCCCAGTGTACAGAGGACAACACGGCTGCCCAAGGCCACACACTACGGGAGGCCGTGACATCTGCCCGGGAAGAGCACCCTCAGGTGGCCGCCACAGGGACCCCTTCCCAAAGTGTATTCCACCGGCCACCCCAGGGCAGGACTCGGGGACACGGTGGCCAAACCAGGGCTAGAGGCTGAGGCAGAGCCCAGGGTCTTGGGGCTCAAACAGACCCTCAGACGGGGCGGCAGGGGCCTGGAGGCGGGAGGCCCAGCCAAGCCCCCGCACCTGCACCCAGGCACGCGGCTGAACCCGCCCAGACTCCCCAAGGCCCAGGGGCTCGGGGTCCACTCATGGCCTGGACTCCTCAGCGACCAGCGGGAGCCACAGGCTGGAGGGGGCCGGGCCACGCCAGGTGGTTAACGGGTTGATCACGTGCCCTTAAAACGCTGCCGTGATTTAGAGAGGGCCCCGGCAGGGCCGCAGCCGCACGTCAGGGCTGCCCAGACCAGGTGGGCGGAGTCCAAGCCCCCCCCAATCCCCGAGTGAGCCGGTGCGGCCGTAAATCTGCAGAAATGGCTTTACGGGGCTCTGGGTTTTATGGTGTCATTAACGCTCCTCTTGACACTTCAGAAGAATGAAACGAAGCCACCAGGCGGCAGGGCTGCTCCTGGGGGAGCAGGGGGTGCTGGCCAGGCCTCCCCAGCAGGCGGCAAGGGCAGGCTCCTGCCGCAACCCAGCCGGGACAGGGTGTCGGCCACAGCACAGCTGTGTCACCTGCTCCCACGGGGACACGCAGGCACACTGGGAAACATGTGACTCGCCCTCCACGGGCCACAACCCCATCGCACAGACCGCGCTACGTCTCCCTCCCGGCAGCCGCTGGGTGGGGCCGTGCGGGCCGTGGCCGCTCTCTGGGCATCAGCCTGAGCCTCTCTGGCTGGGCTAGGGAGGGATGGGGCGCAGGGCGGGAGGCAGCTGCTCACACATGGCTGCATCGGACCCCGGTTCCTGGGGCCCACAGACCACTTGGAGGCTCCCGCGGGGGTCCCGGCGCCAGGGCCAGCCCCACCCGGCCCCTGGGACCTCCACAGGGCCCCGAACAGGACGCTCCTCGTCACCTCGGCCTCCACTGCTGCTGGGGCCAGGACCCGTCGGGCGCTGAGGAGGGAGCGGGGTGCAGGGGTGGGACCCTCTAGGGGGAGCCTCCCGGCAGGCGAGGTGAAGGCCAGGGGACTTACGGAGTAGCCTCTCCCCGAGACCGCCTGCGCCGAGCTCTGCAGGAAGGAAGGGAGCACAGTCAGTGACGAGTGGCCCCGACACCACCCTCCGGCCAGACCCTCCGCACCCAGCCCAGGACCCAGCTCTGAGCCTGAGAGCAGCCGTCTGTCCGGTAGAGACAGGTCCAGATGCCCTGACCCCAGACGGCTGCCAGACACCCTCCCCAGCGGGCCGCAAGGGCGGAAGCCGAGCTGCGCAGCAAGGGTTACACCCTGCCGCCCGCCACTCTGCCAGCTCCCGCCCCGTCCTCCTGGGCTGGGCCAGCTGCGGGTCCTGCAGCAGCTCTGGGGGGGGCTTGGGAAAGGGGTCACCCCACAGGTGTCCGTGGCCAGCTCGCTGCCCCCAAGAAGGGAGGACCCGCCTGGAGAGAGTTCTCCAAAGCAGGAAGGACACTGTGGCCCACGGCCCTGTGGTCATGGGGGGCTGCCCCTGTGCCCATCACCCCAGAGGGGTCCAGAGCTGCAGGACCTCAGGGAGGATGGTCAGGGAAGGGTTCCTGGAGGAGGAGACCTTGAGGAGGGGTCACCATAGGGGGCCTGACAGGCCAGGGGCCTCAGGCATCAGGGCAGGAGGGTGGGGACCCCAACACCCTCGGTGGGGGCCCTCTGGCTCGAATGGGCGTTCGGGGCCATCAGGACAGAGGCCGTGGGTCTCACTGCCTCACCACACTGCTGGGGCCCCCGCGAGCTCCCCAGGGCTGCCCACCAGGGCCGCCGCCCGTCAGCGGAGGCTGCAACAGGAAGGGGTGCAGGACGCAGGGACGGGGCGTGGCTGCTGAGCGGCAGGCGGGGCTGGGCTCTCGGCACTGGGCGTGGGTGGGCACAGCTCGCAGGGGCTGGCGCTGCACCTTCCTGGAGCGGCTGGGCAGGTGGGGGGCGGGGCGGAGGGTGTGCCCAGCCAAAGGGGTGATGCAGCCCCTCTGCAGAATAGGGGGAGACCCCCACCCCTTCCCCAGACAGACCCTCCCCAGGGCCCACCCCAGCTCCTGGGGGGTCACTGCCAGGCAGAACCCAGCTGGGGGGCCTCCCCTCAGGGACCCTGGGGACACAGCCCGGGCCTTGGCCAGGCCCCACCGGCCAGCCACAGCCCGCCAGTGGGGGCAGAACCGTCCCCGTGTGGCTGCCTGGCTGTGCTCAGAACACGCCCTCACACCGGGGCTGGCAATTAGAGGGCGGCTAGCTAGAGCTCCCTGCGCCCAGACGGTTCCGACCTATTTTCCCATCTCGCGGCAACAAGGGCAGCGAGGCCCCTCCCGCCTCCCCCAGCCCCCATGTAAGTGGTAACGGAGTCCTGCAGGACACCTGCCGTCCCAGGCCACTGCAGGGGCCTCCTCGGGCCCGTCTGCATCGACTTTGGCCTGGAACGCCCCTGGGTGAGGCAGACCCCAGGTGTGGGGGGGCCTGGCCACCCCCAGGGCTGGGCTCTGAGGCCCCCATCTGACTCCCCTGCTGGCTCCCCCGGAGACCTGGAGCCCAGGGACCCTCTCAGGGACCCAGTTAGCAGGTGTCCCTCCCGGCCAGGTGCACCCGAACCGCCGGAGCTGCTCCAGGTGGGACAAGCACCTCTGACTTGAGCAGACGCTTCAGGCTCCGACACCTCTGCGGAGCCCGCCCCGCCCCGCCCTCCTCGTCCCTGCGCCCAGCCATGGGCAGGGGCAGCCTCAACGGCAAGTTTAATATTTCCCCAAATCGTTTCTCTTCAGTTGAATCCTTCCTCACGGGAACGGTCCTGACTGGCAAAAATCATGCTCCAAGGAAGGCAAAATGCCGACTGCCAACACAAAGCCTGCTGGGGAACTCCCAGGGCCCCGCCCGGTGGCTTCCTGCAGGACATGCCCTGGCTGGCGGCTCGCCAGGCGGGCCACCCCTGGACGCGGGCGTGCTCGGGTGCAGCGGTCGGGCACTCACGTCACTGAGCTGGTCCCGAGAGCTGCTGCGCCGGGAGCTGGCGGCTTCGAGGACGCTGTCGTCATCGCTGTCCCGGTCGCCTCCTTTGGACACGGTGACCTTCATCTGGGACAGGGAGAGACACCGTCTCAGGCAAACCCACCCCTGAGCCCATCTGCACAGGGACCCTCAGCCAGGGCCACTCCCCCGCCGCCCCCCGCCCAGGGCGCTCTGGGACGCGGCGTGCCCTGCCGCTGTCCACGGGGTCCTCCGCTGGGTCCTCGGCTGGTTCTGGAGGGCGGGCAGCCAGGGGCAGAGCTCTGCAGAGCCGGGACCCCCCAGGCGGACAGCCACACGCGGGCAGCAGGGTGGGCAGGAGACACCCAGGAGAGCAGACGGCGGCGCAGAGACTTCAGAGGCGTGTTAGCTCTGTCCTCGTTTGCTCGAGCCGCTGACTTTAAAGACATCCTGGCGGATCCTGGGGCCGGGGCAGGGCCTTGCCACTCACACCGGGCCCTCCTCCCCGCCCGGCAGCCAGGCCACACCCTGCTGGGCGGAGCCGTCTGAAGGCCGCCGCCAAGACTGAGCGGGGCGCACGGCCTGCTGGATGGAGAGAGGCCGGGTGAACCTGCCGCTCCCGCCCCGTGCCCTTGGGCCACCGCTCGGCTGCTCTGAGCCTCCTTCCTCCGCTGCCTGCGCGAGGGAGCCGCCTCTCCCACGACTGCCGCCAATGCGCACCCTGCCGCGGGCACCCCGGGGGGCCGCTGCTGGCCCAGCAGCCCTGAGTAGCAACCATCTTTGCTTCCACTTCACAGATCAAAAACGTGAGGCCCAGAGAGGCTGGGTGACCAGGCGGGGACCGGGGCCGGAGCCAGTTTCAAACCTGCCACAGCGGAGTGGCAGACGGCAGAGCTCCAGTGGGCCACACCCAGCAGGGACGCGCCCTAGGGCGGCCAGTGTTCCCAGCCTCCCCCGAGGACCCCCGAGGCCCAGCTGCCTGTCTCCACGGCCTCCGCTCATCCGGAACATTCCTGCACCTTGCAGTAATGTATGTGCCCCGTCCTGGGAACGCCGGCCCACCCCTCCCCGCCCAGTTTCGGCCCCCAAGTCTCTCATCCCAGAGCCCCAGTGCCGACCGGTGGAGCCTGCGGCCCAAGTCCTCAAAGTTCAGTCATTTCGTGGGAGCTCCAGCCCTGCAGACGCTGTCCCTGGGCCGGTCAGCTCGGCCTGGTGCTGCCCGCCGGCCCCTGCAGAGCCCCCGGCGCCCACCCCAGGGCCAAGGTGGGCTGCGCCCCGGCCGCCAGGCCTCTGAGGGCTCAACCCCCCTGTCCTGTGAGGCCATTTAACGTCCAAGGACTGAGGGGCTCGCACTCAGTCCCTGGGGGCAAACGCGGGAGGCCGGGCCACACGCAGGAGGCCCCACCACGTGGTGCCAGCGAGACCGAGGACTGGCAGGAGGGGGCGTGGCCTGCGCAGCCAGGCAGCAGCCCGCACGGGCCAGGTGGGCCCGGGCAGAGACTGGCCTGCCCCCGCCTGGGTGTCCTCTGCAGCAGGAGACACTGGCAGGGCCTCACACGAATGGCTACAAGCCACCAGGTGTCACTCTCTCCCCAGCTGGACTCCGCCCCACGCAGGGAGAACGGCTTTCTCACCTCTGGACCCGCGGCGGGGCCCTCGCTCACTGGCTCCTGCACCCACTGCCTTCTGGGGAACCGCGTCCCACCCTCATCCAGTGGTTCTCAACATGGGATCCCTGGACCAGCAGCAGCAGCCCTGCGAGCTTGTTAGGAATTCGAATTTTCAGGCCCCACCTCAGCAGCTCTATGTGTCCTCATGCCCTCTGGGGGACTCCAGAGGAGCTGAGCTGAGGCCCACAGCCCTGATCATTAGTAATCGCCCCTGTGAGCCCCACACTCACTGCCAGAGGATATGCTGGACCCAGAGACATTGCAGGGACAGGAAAGGCCTGGTACGGGGCTGTCAAGTACAGCTGTACATGTTGCTCACTGCACAAGGACCTTCAGCAAGGGGCGAGGGGAAGTGGACACCGCTTTCCACTTCACCCAAACACAAGAGCCATCTCCTCGCAGAGCTGGGCGCCAGAGGGAACGCCTCACCCTGGAACCCTGGCAGCTGCTCTGCGTAAGTTTCTCTTAACCCAGAGGCACCAGCAGGTGGCAGGTTGGGGTCTCCCATCCTTCCTTGGGTGGCTGGTTTTAGCACTAAAAGCCCTGTTCCTGGAAAACCCTGTAGAACTAAGTCCTGTGTCCCGGGAACCCCCTGATCCTGGACGCATGGGATGGCTGTCACCCACTGCTGTCCCCAAGCAGGACCCGAAACAGCCTGAGCTGGTGCTTCTCAGCTGCTCAGAGATGCTGCTGCCCCAGGGCCAGGGGATGCCACAGCTCCGTGTCCAGCCAGAGCTGCAGGGACGAGATCTGCGTGGACCTCCAAGTCCATGGCTGGGGCCAGAGGGTCCCCTGTCAGCCCTGGGAGGGCAGGGGGAGCCCCTGCACCCGTACCCCCCGCACAAGGCCCTCCCGCCCATCTGTCCGTGCGTCAATCCTCCAGCCAGCATTTACTGAGTTCCTGCGAGCCGGGCACTGTTCTGGGCAGCGAACGACAGACTCAAGTCTCTGCCCTCCCAGGGCCTACGGAGAAACGACCGTCCCCAGACAGCACCGGACAGCACGCAGCCTGCTGGACGGCGACAGGTGCCACGGGGAACAGCGGCAGAGGGTGGCCGCAGGGAGGGCCAGGGGAGCCCTGAGCTGCGATGCCGTTCCGCTCCACCGGGTCTGGGCGTTTGGGCGCGGCACCGGCAGCTGCCAGTGGGCCGCGTGAGCACTGATGGGTGGGCCCTGGGCATGTAGGGCTGACCCACAGCTCGTCTGGCTCAGACCGTCACCTGGAGGACACACTGGGGCCAGCAACCCTCAGCTCCCTGGGGACGTCCCTGAGCTCCCCGCCTGACCTCCCCGGGAGGCCCCCCCGAGGGTGCCACACCCCCATGCTGAGTCGCGGCCGCCTCCGGAAGCCGCCCTTCTGGGGGGCCCCTCAGTGCGGGTGCTGCCCACCAACCTGGGGGCCGTGGCGCCGCGTCACGCACGGGGGAGCCCTGAGTGGGTTTCCGAGGTGCTCCCTTCCCAGCCGGGCTGGGCCTCCTTCCCACGGAGGGCGGGGCTGGCTCGGTGGGCCGGGCAGCGGGGGCCTGGGCAAGTAGTCGACAGAAGCGCAGGGAGCCTAGGAGCGCGGCGCTCTGCTGAGCCCAGGCGGCCACTGTCCCATGCTCAGTGCTTTTGTGGGTCTGGAGTGATTCTTTACCTCGGGGGTACCCAGAGTGCGCTCTGAGCACCAGCAGCCCCAGTGCCAGCTGGCAAGGCCTGCCCGGCCCCACCGGGCTCTCGACGTGACTCCAAGACTGAGAACCCTCCCCCGTCTGCACCCAGAGGGGCGAAGGCTGCAGGTGAGCGGGACCTACCCCGTGCTGCTTGGCTGGCATGAGCCCGGACGGGACACGGGACACGGGTAGGGGCAGGGCCAGAAGCAGCAGCACTGACAGCTCACCTGCACTCACCAGCACTCTGTAGATGGGGAAACTGAGGCACAGGGACTTGCCCCAGGGCACCTGCAGGTGACGGGGACTTTAGGCGGCTGGGAGGACACCCCTCCACAAAGCAAGAGAAGGGGAGGCCTGCGGGGGCTTGCTGCCCAGCTGTGCTCAGACCCAGCCAATTCCTGGGGTGGGGGAAGCTGACGCCCCAGAGGAGTTCCCGCCAGCTCCGGTGGTGTGAACATTCACCGACGCTGATTTACGTGACTGGGTTTAACAGCTGGCCACTCCTGCAAGCTCCACCCACCGGACACAGCCCGTAGGACGGGGCCAGGACGGGGTGTCCCGGCAGGAACCTCGAGAGCTCCAGCGTGGGGACCCCTCCCCGGCCCCCCGGCTCCACACCGCACGCCCAGGAAGCGCACACCCTGCGCAGGCAGGAAACAGGCAGTTCTGCTGGGGGCTCAGACCCGCTGGGTGGTCGGGCACAGGGCGGGGGCGCCCGGGGCAGGGGCTCTCACGGGCGAGCCCCCAGGACCCCCCACTCACGCAGGCAGGGGCACACTCGCCACCCACTGTGGACACACACACACCTGCCTTGCCCAGTGGCCTCAGACGGCCGCTCCCAGCACCCCAGACGCATAAAACGTATGCACACCGCTCACCAACTCCTCCCCCACCCGTTGCCCAGACACCACCCTGCCCCCCGATGCACACAACCCTGCCCAGGCCCTGACCCTGAAGCAGGGCACACACGAGGCCCCCTAGCACCCCCAGAGCTCTCTGTGCAGACCGAGCAGAAGGCGCCCTGTGAGTGCATATGGACAACAGGAATGGCAGCCCTGGAGTGCTGCTGTGCACGACCTGAGCAGCTGTACCCGGCGGCCCCATCAGGCAGTTCCACACTCAGACAAGGGCCACCCTACAAGTGCACATGAGCTCAGACGGTGGCCATGGCACCCCTGGCCTCTCACCTGCAGGACTGCGGGGGAGGGGTGGGAGCTGCCTGGGCTGCGGCTCCCTCATGCCTGCCAGGCCCAGGTCGGGCCCCCACACCCCTGGGCCACCATCCCGGCGGGAAACAAGAACTGCAGCCGTAGAAGCGGAGCACAGGCTCACAGCGGCCTGGATGCCGCCATCCCGTGCAAACACACGTGTACACGCACCGTCCCCACCCTGGCCTGCAGCGCGAACCCCGCCTGTCCAGGGCGCTGGCGGCTGGCCCTGTGCCAAGTGGTCCCTGGGTGCCTCCCAGGTGACGCTCACGCCCGCCCCAGGTCAGGAAGCCCTGCCCGCGGGAGTGGGGACTTGCGCAGAGGGAAGGGTGCTGATGGGTGGAGCTGCGTCCATTCCCAGGATGCTCTGCTCCCCACCTCCCAGGCCCTGGGTTCTGGAGTGTTCTGGGAGCCCCCAGAGCTGTCCATTAATCCCCAGCACAGCCCTAGTGCAGCCGACGCCCTTCCCTGGCCGGCCCTCACTCCCCTCACCGGACAGTTCCTCACGGTGCAGGGTCTCAGGCCTGGTGCTGGGCACCCGCCACCCTCCCCTCCCCGGGACCTCCCCGTGTCAGGGC